AGCATGACAGTGAGGGGGTACAGCATGACAGTGAGGGGGTAAAGAACACCACATCTCCTCGTGGTCCCGGGAGGGAAATTTGTTGCAGCGTATGTTTTTTGAGAATTCTCAAAAACATACGCTGCAACAATTTCCCTCCTACAGCATGACAGTGAGGGGGGGGTAAAGAACAGCACATCTTCTCGTGGTCCCTCCCCTTGCTGCTAGCCACATTGCTTTGTGCACCAGATTTGCCAAAACAACTTAGCAATGAAGGGAAGGCAAGGAGGCCGGATGTGTCAGGGTGCTGCATGGCAGTGGGGCAGTGAGATAAACGGATGTTATAATCACTTTTGAAAAGTCTCAAAACTAATCTCTTGATGTTCTCTCCTTGCTGTCTCGTTCACCGAATTTGCCCAAGGGGTTGATGAGGGGGCCATATCATCTCAACCATCTAAACACACGCATGCACGCACGCACGCACACACACACTCACTCACTCACCCAGTGAATCCGCTTGTGGAAACAGCAATCTCCTGAATGTCCACATCGGTGCTCAGAGGTAGCTCTTTCTGCTCCACATCTCAACCCATCCCAACCCCTCCCCAACCCATGCACATACCCCGTAAATCCGCTGGTGGCGACAGCGATTTCCTGAATGTCCACATCGGTGCTCAGAGGTAGCTCCTTGTGCTCCACATGCACCGTCAGTATGGCCTCCCTCCCCTTGCGATCCGGAGGCTCCACCTGAGAGTGGGAGTGTGGGTTTGGAAGAAGATATGTGGCTGTGGTGTGAGTCTGTGAGATGGGATGGCATGTTGCTGCATCAGCTAGTGGCAGCTCCTTGTGCTCCACATGCACCGTCAGTATGGCCTCCCTCCCCTTGCGATCAGGAGGCTCCACCTGAGAGGGTGAGTATGTGTGTGTGTGTGTGTGGTGGTGGTGCGGAGGTGGAGGAGAGGGTACACATATGGAAGAAGGGATGGGAAGCAGAGATCGGAAGAAGAAGAAGAGATCGGTCACATGGGGTTGTGGCAGCTCTTTCTGCTCCACATGCCACTGTCAGTATGGCATCAAGACCCATCAAGCCCCATTACCACACAACACAGAACAGCACGCCAAACAGCTGTTTGATGCTATGCTACCACACTGAACGAATCTGCACACACACTACACCACCCCCCACCGTTCCTCACCGCTACAATCCGGTCGAACCGCCCTGGGCGGCGCAGGGCGGGGTCGATGACGTCTGCCCTGTTGGTGGCTGCGAGGACAATGACTGCAGTGCTGCTGTCAAAACCCGTCCATCTCCTGTGGTGACAGATGGAAGAGCGCACACATGGGTGTAAAGCACGCAAGCAAGCACAGTAGTGTGAGGCGCCTCAAAAGAGCGCACAACATGGGTGTAAAGCACGCAAGCAAGCACAGTATGTGAGGCGCCTCAAAAGAGCGCACAACATGGGTGTAAAGCAAGCAGCAAGCACAGTAGTGTGAGCACGCACGCGTGATGTGAGGCGCCTCAAAAGAGCGCACAACATGGTGTAAAGGCACGCGTGTTTTGAGGCGCCTCAAAAGAGCGCACAACATGGGTGTAAGAGCACGCGTGTTTTGAGGCGCCTCAAAAAGAGCGCACAAACATGGGTGTAAAGCAACGCGTGTTTTGAGGCGCCTCAAAAGAGCGCACAACATGGTGTAAAGCACGCGTGTTTTGAGGGCGCCTCAAAAGAGCGCACAACATGGGTGTAAAGCACGCGTGTTTTGAGGCGCCTCAAAAGAGCGCACAACATGGGTGTAAAGCACGCGTGTTTTGAGGCGCCTCAAAAGAGCGCACAACATGGGTGTAAAGCACGCGTGTTTTGAGGCGCCTCAAAAGAGCGCACAACATGGGTGTAAAGCACGCGTGTTTTGAGGCGCCTCAAAAGAGCGCACGACATGGGTGTAAAGCACGCGTGTTTTGAGGCGCCTCAAAAGAGCGCACAACATGGTGTAAAGCACGCGTGTTTTGAGGCGCCTCAAAAGAGCGCACAACATGGGTGTAAAGCACGCGTGTTTTGAGGCGCCTCAAAAGAGCGCACGACATGGGTGTAAAGCACGCGTGTTTTGAGGCGCCTCAAAAGAGCGCACGACATGGGTGTAAAAGCACGCGTGTTTTGAGGCGCCTCAAAAGAGCGCACGACATGGGTGTAAAGCACGCGTGTTTTGAGGCGCCTCAAAAGAGCGCACGACATGGGTGTAAAGCACGCGTGTTTTGAGGCGCCTCAAAAGAGCGCACGACATGGGTGTAAAGCACGCGTGTTTTGAGGCGCCTCAAAAGAGCGCACGACATGGGTTGTAAAGCACGCGTGCACGGTAGTGTGAGGACAATCACGCAGGGCAGAGTCAATGGCGTCTGCCTCGTTGGTAGTTGCAAGGACAATCACCGCTGTACTGTAGTGGAGGATACAAGGTTGCATTGAAAGCAGAAGAGGCACATACATAGGTACATAGGTGTCACTGGCTCACAAGCACGCTCTGTACATGGATGTATATGAGCAAATACAGACCAACCTACCCACCCCCTGACTCACCCACTCACCGTGAGCAGTTGGTTCAGGGTCTCCTCCCTCTTGTCATTACCCACACTGCGCATGCGCCCGTGCAATCACCCGCTCAAGCACACACAAACACACACTCCTACTCTTCCAACAACTCACAAACCCCCCCCACTCACAGTGAGCAGCTGGTTCAGGGTCTGCTCCCTCTCGTCGTTTCCCACACTGCGCATGCGCCCATCCCGCACCTTGGCCACTGCATCGATCTGCCAAAGGGAAGAGAGGGAAGAGAGAGGGAAGAGAGAGGGAGAGATTGCACACAGGAGAAGAGATGGGAAAGAGCACGAATCAAATCACTAGCTTGCTGGCATCAATACATCGCACATTGCGCATGCGCCCATCCCGCACCTTGGCCACTGCATCAATCTGTCGAGGGAGAGACAGAGGGGATGGAACGAGGTGAACGAGGTGACTTTTCAGTCGACTCAAAAGTCACCTCGAGACAGAGGGGATGGAACGAGGTGAACGAGGTGACTTTTCAGTCGACTCAAAAGTCACCTCGAGACAGAGGGGATGGAACGAGGTGAACGAGGTGACTTTTCAGTCGACTCAAAAGTCACCTCGAGACAGAGGGGATGGAACGAGGTGAACGAGGTGACTTTTCAGTAGACTCAAAAGTCACCTCGAGACAGAGGGGATGGAACGAGGGGAGAAGGTGACTTGACCAGTTGTGTGTGTGTTTTGGGCATAAAACAACTCAAAAAACCACACACACACAACTGGTCATGACTCATAACCTTGGACGGTTGCAGTTGGACTTATGAGTCGGTTCAAGTGCTGCTCGCACAAATAAAGGACTCCCATACGAGCTCGCCTCATCACTGGACACGACAAAGGGCGAGTCCTTCATGATTCGTGCGAACAGCTTTCTATTCAACTCACAAGACATTTGGGTCACTGGTCATGAAGAAGAGCTGCAGCGTGAGGGATCGCTGCAGCTCTTCTTCATGACCAGTGACCCGTGGGACTTCAACTCACAAGACATTTTTCTTTCGAGGCGTAACCTGGTCCTGCCATACACTCACCTCATCAATCAACAAGACGGGGGGCGAGCCCTTCTATATGCGTGCAAACAGCTCTGAAGTCTACTCAAAAGTCCTCTGGCCCGGTCACTATCACTCTCTCACTATAAGCAGAAACCCGTTACAAGCTCACCTCATCAATAAACACGATAGACGGCGAGTCCTTCTTTGCCTGCGCGAACAGCTCTCTCACTCGCGACGCACCCAGGCCCACATACAGCTCCACAAACTCGCTACCGCTGCAGCTTATAAAGGGTACGTCTGCCTCCCCAGCCACTGCCTTGGCCAGCATCGTCTTTCCCGTGCCTGGCGGCCCAACCTGAAAGGCAGGCTCGGCAAACAGGGGAAAAAGGCCAGAGGAGGTTTAGCTGAGGAAACTTCTGCGTTCGCTAATTTGGTTACGACTTAGATTGGGCTCCTAAGAAGCCATAACGATGAGTAGGACTCACTCGAAAGCATCAAATTTGAGACCACGCCACTGAAGGTGGAAAAGCATACAAGCAAGCAACATTGTGTGAGGGAACCATGAGCCAGCAGGCAGCACAGCACACGCCCTCACCAGCAGCACAGCACACGCCCTCACCAGCAGCACAGCACACGCCCTCACCAGCAGCACTCCTCTGGGAGGTCTGGCCCCCAGTCGAGTGAAACGCTCCGGCGTGCGGAGATACTCCTGGGGTGGTGAGGCGGGGCGGGGCGGGGAGAAGCAAAAAAGGAGATGAAGCAGAAACCAAAAGAACCGGATTTTATTTAGTAAAGCCTAGGCGTGCTAAGGTGCCCCTGGGGTGGCGAAAGGAGGAGAGAGAGAGGCAAGAATGAAATAGATGAAGAAGAAACCAGATAGGGGAGATAAAGTGCTTAATCAGTCAAGCTGACTTTTGAGTCGACTCAAAAGTCACCAGATAGGGGAGATAAAGTGTTTAATCAGTCAAGCTCGGCGGCACAAAGGTCCTCCTCGGATTTCGAAGCAAGGATGAGAGAAGAAAGCTGGACAATGAGTCACCAGGGGAGATAAAGTAGGGGAAAAGGAGACCCTCCTTCACACACTCGCCCCACCCCTTCGTCCCCACCACTTACCAAGATCTCCTCCAATTCCTCTTTCGCCTCATCCACCCCCATATAGCCCACACCCTCCCTCCTCTCCCTCCCTCCCCTCCCCTCCCCTCCCCTCCCCTCCCCTCCCCTCCCCTCCCCTCCCCTCCCCTCCCCTCCCTTCCCCTCCCCCTCCCCCTTCACCAACACTCGGCCCACTTACCACGATCTCCTCTAGCTCCTCTTTCGCCTCATCCACCCCTGCCACGTCAGCAAACAGCACTGGCGGCGACTTGCCCTTCTGACTGCGTGCCTTACCCCCAAACTTTGGACATGCCACGTGGATGAAAGGATGGACAGAGTTTGAATGGCATGCCTCATGGAAGGATGGAGAAAAATATGAATTGCCATGCCACGTGGAGAAATGGATGGGCAGAGTTGGGACGGACAGAGTTGGGACGGACAGAGTTGGGACGGACATCAGATGGGAGGATGGGTGGATGAGTGAAAGCAAACGATACGGCATTAAACGCACTTATAACAGCCAGCAGCAGAGTGGAGTGGCGTGCATCAAGCACCCTTTTAAGAAAGGCTTTTGCGTAAACTATTTCTTTTTTCATCACACGCGGATTATATGTGGAGTGGAGAGCCAGCAGCAGAGTGGAATGGAGTAGCGTGCTGCGTGCATCAAATGCCCCCTTAAGAAAATTGTCTCAGCAAACGCACATTATATGTGGAGAGACAGGGCCCAGCAGCAGAGTGGAGTGGAGTCGAGTCGAGCGGTGTGCATCGAATGCCCCCATGCGGATTCCACCACCTGTCAATCGCCCCCTCGCAACTAAACTCACCTCATACGCTGATCCCTTCACTAACCTGTGCGCGTGCGTGTGATGAGTCGCTTTTTGAGTCGACTCAAAAATCGCCCCCTCGCGACTTAACTAACCTCGTACGCGAATCCCTTCACTAACCTGTGCGCGTGTGATGAGTCGCTTTTTGAGTCGACTCAAAAATCGCCCCCTCGCGACTTAACTCACCTCATACGCGAATCCCTTCACTAACCTGTGGGAGCTTCATTTGCAAGCGCGAGAGCACGACCGCTGCTATGCCTGCGTACAGGAGAGTGGACTGGGAAGGATAGTGCAGGGACGCAGATGCGAGGGCATGGCAAGGAGGGCATGAAGGAGGGCATGGCAAGGAGGGGCATGGCAAGGAGGGCATGGCAACGGGAAAGATAAGAAAAATAAAGGAGTGAGACTGAAAATCATCACCACACACACACTTACCACACACACACACACACACACACACACTCTCACCACACCACCCTCTCTGCACACGTCCCCACTCCACACACACTCTCTCACATGGCTGCACTGCCCTCAGACGTCCCCGCTCCACACACACACGAATTCCACCCCCACTCGTATATTCTCACTACACTTACCCCTCTCTCCCCGTTTCCCCCTTTCTCCCCCCTTTCCCCTCTCTCCCCGTTTCCCCTTTTCTCCCCCCTTTCCCCTCTCTCCCCGTTTTCCCTCCCCCTTTCTCTCCCCTTTCCCCCCTCTCTCCCAGTTTCCCCCTTCTCCCCCTTTCCCCTCTCTCCCGTTTCCCCCTTCTCCCCCCTTTCCCCTCTCTCCCCGTTTCCCCCTTTCTCCCCCCTTTCCCTCTCTCCCCGTTTCCCCTTTCTCCCCCCTTTCCCCTCTCTCCCCGTTTCCTTCCCCCTTTCTCCCCCCTTTCCCCTCTCTCCCCCGTTTCCCCCTTTCTCCCCCCTTTCCCCCCTTTCCCCCCTCTCTCCCCGTTTCCCCCTTTCTCCCCCCTTTCCCCTCTCTCCCCGTTTCCCCCTTTCTCCCCCCTTTCCCCTCTCTCCCCGTTTCCCCTTTTCTCCCCCCTTTCCCCTCTCTCCCCGTTTCCCCCTTTCTCCCCCCTTTCCCCCCTCTCTCCCAGTTTCCCCCTTCTCCCCCCTTTCCCCTCTCTCCCCGTTTCCCCCTTTCCCCCCTCTCCCCTTGACTGCTCACCAAGATGGTATTCCCGAGCTTGAACGACGCCCAGGCAGAGCACCCGCCCCACCCTCACTCACATACCCTCACTAGACTTCTCCCCCTCTCCCTCCCCCCCCCCCCCCCCCCCCCCCCCCCCCTCCCCCCCCCCCCCCCCCCCCCCCCCCCCCCCCCCCCCCCCCCCCCCCCCCCCCCCCCCCCCCCCCTCCTCTCCCCCTTCTCCCCTTTCTCCCCCCTCCCCCACCCCTTTCCCCATGACTGCTCACCGAAATCGTATTCACGAGTTTAAACGACGCCTTATCCGGAGCACCAAACTCTACGTGGCGTGACATCAGCTCAGCGTACGGGACCGCCACGTCAGCAGGCTTCACCGTAGTCAGCTGCACTTGGACAGGTGGCATCTTCCCCACCTTCTTCCCGGAAGCTTCCCCCGCCTCCTTCCACTTGCTCTCTGCCATTCTTTCCACTTGGCGAATCATGGGTTGTAACTCCGTCGCCTTGTGCCCTTTTGCGAACTCGGGGCGTCGCAGAACGAACGACACCTTGTCGCCGTCTACAGTAATCGACACGATATTGTCCTTCTTCACGTGGTAAAGAAACTCCGAAAACGGAACAGTGATGGAGAAGGAAATTCGAGTCGTCTCCTGCTGCTCCTGCTGCTGCTTCTGCAGCTGCTGCCGCTGCTGCCGCTCCTTCGCATCTAAACCCGCACTGCCAGCATCAGAACCAGCAGACGCCGCCTCGTCAGACACCAGGGTATTCGCCGGTAACCCCCACTTTTCCAGGGTTACAACGACGGTCTTTGGAAGTAACCCGAAACGGCGCGCCGCGCGTTTCACGACGAGCGGGTGCGAGCTAAGAATCCGAGCAGAGAGCATCAGAACCACCAGATTCGTCACCAAAAACGTGAGAAGCTTCAGATCTGGGAGAATCCCCAGGATAAGTTTCCGCCACCACGGGGAGCTGTCGTCGCTGCCTCGCCGCGACGGCCGCTGCGAGCCGCGCCTCCCGTCCTTCCCCGCGCCGTTTGGTTTCGATGACGTGCCTTGCGCTTTTCTTCCGTCGGACGTCGCCTTGTCGCTTTTCGACCCGGCTGGACTTAAATTCCCTTTTTGAATCTGTGAGAGCTGCTGCTGCTGATGCTGCTGCGAGTTAGGCTGTTTCGGGTCCTGTTGCTGCGGACGTAAGCCGCTGGCCTCGGGATTCGAAGCTCCCGAAGAAGCTTCGCCGTCGGATGCGCTGGCGTTTCCTACGGAGCTGGATTGCACCAGGATAACCCGAGAAGGGGGAATATTCGCGGAAGCCGCGGAGAACGAACCGCATGACGCGGGAACAGGCTCTGGAGAATCATCCGGCGGGGAGGCGTCGCCGCTTCTATCGGCGCTGGAGAGGATTCTAAGGACCCCGCGCGTCGAGGCGCATCGGGGAAACGGTCGCGTCGCTCTCGCGCAGGCTAACCGTTTGTGAAGATCGGAGAAAAGATCCGAGGCTTGTCTGCTATGCACTCTTGGCGGACCGCAAATCCCGGTGCTGAGCAAGCTCGTCATAGCACAGGAAGCGAGAGTATTACGTATGTACGAAGAATATAAGAAGACGGCGACCCTAGACTCTAGAAGTGCATACCGCAAGGCCAACGTCTAGCGCAGGAGCAGCATGAATCACCTACGCTTGGAAAGCGTGGTGTATGGCGGAATTTAGGGCGAAGTCAGGTTATACGATCGATTCTCACGTGTTTACAGTTCTTGTTTTGTGGTTCAGGATGGTCCAGCACGGTGAAAAGCGGTTCTTGCCTTGTACCGCTCTGCACCGTGTTGAAACAAAGTTAACCGCTGAAGGCGTACAAAAGGTTGTACAACCTGACGTCGCCCTTAGGGTTGCCTTACGGAGATGTGACGTATGATGTGGAAGGCGGATAAACGCCCCGAAGAACTAGTATCTAGGCACTAGTTTGCTCTGAACTCTGTGGTGCGGTGCGTGGTGTGGTATAGTGTGCTATCATATGGTTTTGCTATTTTGATTTTGGTAACGTGTGCTTCAATACGGTCGATTCTCTGGCTCTCCTTGTGATGTGATGTGGTTGAGGTGTCGCTGTAGCGAAGGGTGAATGTGCGCTAGGTTTGGGGGAAGGGATGAAATGGGGAAGCGGGCAGAAGCCACACAAGCCGTTTGCGAAGATGAGCCTGGGGACTGGGCTTGCACGATTTGGATTGGACAGGAAACTACCACGAGCGGATTTTGAGTTGACCCTGGAAAGAAACAGGCAACGACCCAAGTATCCTCAATGTACCAGTGACATGAGAAGGGCCTGCATCTGTTTAACGCCACGTCACACATTCACGCTTTTAGCACGTCCCTCCGACACCAGGGGGCTGATGAGTTACTCTTGCCCGCATGAACCACGTGCAAAAACCTCCGTGGCAACGGAAACCAAACAAGTTGCTTCGCCACCAGTCAATGCCTCGAGATTAGGCACCTAGGATGTGAAAGCAAAACTTTCTAATAGCATCCCCTTCTAAAGCGCACTGGCAGATTGGCTGTCTTAAGTCTATATAGAAATCTTAGTGTCCTCTTAGCGTCTTCTGGAGGAGCCCCGCGACTTTGAACGGGTAGTGGTCTGCAAGGGACAGAAAACAAATCAGGATAGCATCATTAAAAATAAATCTGCGATCACGTACTGCGCACACGACATGTGCAGGGGAAAAAAAATAAAAGATGGGAAAGAAAAAAATAAATTAGAATAAAAGACAGAAAGAAACACTGAGTATGAGCTCACCATTTGAGTTGTGTTGCCAAAACCAGATGGCATCGGGGCAGCCGGCTGAAGTGTCGGAGTGGCAGGAGCACCTGTTGACAATTAAAAAAAAAAAAAAAGCACACACACAAACATAAAACATTGACAAGCAAACTTCAGAAGACTGATATGCATACACCAACAGGCACAAACATCGACAATTGAAAAACCGCAACCATCATAAAAAAACGGTTGTTACAAAACAAGCCGCCAGATCCAGCTGCCGCACTCCCCCCCAGCAGAAATCGAGAGAGGGGGGTGTCAGGCTGACTCTGTTTTTTGAGAATTCTAAAAAAGCGTGGTACATACCAAACAAGCCGCCAGATCCAGCTGCCGCACCCCCAGCAGGAGCACCAAACAGCCATGTGCCAGGAGCCGACGCCGCTGCTCCAAACGGCGACGGCGAGGGTCCCCCAGCAGCACCGAACGGCGAAGCAGCGGGAGCACCGAAAGGCGACGCTGCTGCTGGCGTTGCTCCGAACAGACCCCCGGTTGTGGGACCAGCCGGGGACCCAAACAGCGACGGGGTGCTTGCGGCCGCTCCTGCTGCTCCTGGGGTTGCTCCAAAGGCAGATGCGCCGGTGCCGAAAGCCGAGGTGTTCCCAAAGAGAGAGGAGCCGGGGGACGAGCCTGCTGCTGCCGGGTTCGGAGCGCCGAAGAGAGACGTGGTGCCCGTGGCAGGTGTGGCAGGGTTGCCGAAAGAAAGGCCAGGAGAGGATGCAGCAGCAGCAGCGGCGGCACCAGGAGTGGCACTGCCGAAGAGCGACGGAGTGGGGGTGCCAAAGAGGGAGGTGCCTGGGGAGCTGCCTGCTACAGCAGAGGCAGGGGGGGGTACCGAAGAGGGAGAGACCAGGGGTGGTGGCGGTGGCTGGGGTGGTGGAACCGAAGAGGGATGGTGTGGTGGATGTGGAGGAGGGGAAGAGCCCGGTAGGGTTTGGGGAGGCGCCGGGAGTGGTGGTTCCGGGAAGGAGGGAGAGCGGAGAGGAAAGAATCCCACTGCCTGTACCTCCTGCACCAGCAGCACCGGCAGCACCACCAGCAGCACCAGTACCAACGCCAGCAGCAGAGCCGAGCAGGGAGGGTTTCTTACTGGCAGTAGCAGCAGCCTCAATCCGGTCTGCCTCTGCAAACGGATTACTCCGGTCGCCCCTCCTCCGCCTCTCCGCCAGAAACGCATTCCTTGCCGCATCCACCCTCTCATGTACCCTCTCCACCTGAGCTGCTACATGTATGAAAAAATCATGCAGATTCTTTATAATCACAGGGAGAGCCTCAACCGCTGCTGCCGCTGAAGCTGCCGACGCGGCTCGGGAGTACCCGACGCCGAACCTGGAGTCTGCCAGGGCTGGTTCGATGGCTGCCTGGAGCTCGGTGAGCTTGTGGCGGTACTCTGTTACTTTAACTTCAAAGCGAGCGACTGTGTCGATGAGGAAGGGCGACGGCAGGCACGGCACGCCCCGGTAGATGTCCGCTTGCCCTGGGGGTTATGACGGGGAGGTTGAGGGGGGAGAGGGGGAGCTCGGTGAGCTTGTGGCGGTACTCTGCTATCTTGACTTCAAAGCGAGAGACTGTGTTGATGAGGAAGGGCGATGGCAGGCAGGGCACCCCCTGGTAGATGTCCGCTTGCCCTGGGGGGGTTGAGGGAATCAGCATGTTTTAAGTCGATTCAGGGATATCATAATACAGCAGGGTCGGCTCAGGGAGGTGATTTATTGGGAGCCTAAAAAATCGCCTCACTACACGCGGATTTCATACCTGGTGCCGCTAGGTTGGCTCAGGGAGGTGGGGAAATTGGTGCGTTTTAAGGCGAAACATACGGGGTTTGCGAACTGAAGTTACTGGTGCAGTTGGGTTGGCTCAGAGAGGTGGACTGATCGGCGGATTTTAGCAGACCCGGGATACAGCACAAGTCTGAAGGCGCACCTGGTGCCAGCGAGTCTGCTCCAGGGAGGTGGGGGAACCGCGAGCGGAGGAGAGAGAAGGAGCGCACTGCCAGGTCGCTGTGGTGCAGCAGGTGCTGCGCCGTGTGCAGCATGTGGTGCAGGGACGCCCGCTCTGTGTCCACCCTTGATGCCACGTGTGAGAGGCCCTGGAGGGCGGTAAAGGAGGGTTAGAGAGGGGGGAAATGCACAGCTTGGTCAGCAGCAGGGGGGGCTGTGGTGCAGCAGGTGCTGCGCCGTGTGCAGCATGTGGTGGAGGGATGCTCTCTCCATGTCCATCCGTGATGCCACGTGCGAGAAGCTCTGGAAGAGGGAGAGGGCGAAAGAAAGGCAGGAGGAGATAAGAAGAATATGCAGTGGGGAAGAGAGGGTGGTAATGGAGGGAGAAGCGGCGGAAAAAAAGTCATGCACTGCTCCGAATCCAAGTCAGCTATCCACGTCAGCCATATTCACACGCCAGCTATGCGGACCAGCTAAAGACCAACTCAAACCAGCCAGCTGGATACCACTCAACCGTGTTGGCCGCCAATCGTGAGTGATCTGTCAGCCACACCTCTCCATGGCAATAACACAAATCAGCCGCACATAACCGCTGCCCACCTGGCTGACTCTAGCCGCCTGCCGTTCGAACGGGTTGTCCGCCAACTGTGAGCCATCATGCAGCCGACTGGATTGCCCAAGCCTCTGGCTCTCGGCTCGCAGCTCCAATATCTTGCTCCTGAAGACCGGGGAAACGAGGAATTGGATTAAATGAAGCTAATGAAACGTGTAATTTTACTCCAACACTCTGCACCTGGCTCTCCGCGCGCAGCTCCATTATCTTGCTCCTGACAGCAGGGGAAACGAGGAAATGGGTTGAAAATACTATAGAATTTTGTAATGTTACTCCAGAAACTTGCATCTGGCTTTCGGCTCGCAGCTCCAATGGGTTGCTCCTGATGGCAGGAAAACGAGAAATTGGATTTAAAATAACTAATGGAAATTGTAACCTCATTCCAACACCTTGCTACTTGCTCATTCGGCGCGCCAAGCCCGACGTCTTGCTCTTAGAGCAGGGGAAGGGGGGATTAGGTCAGAAAAAAGGAGAGCTGAGGGGGGGGGGGAACCGAACTGCTTACTCGAGTCCGTAATTCAGTGTGCGGAAATCACACGCCTACCTCCTAAGGTACAGCAATGGCGACCTCTCTATAAAGGATGGCAGGAGGTCAGTTAAACGGATTAAACGGAAAACACTCGCTCTATGTGCGTCAGGATCTTCTGGCTGTCTATGGCCTCCATATAGTCAGGCTCGCTATTGTGATTCCAGAAAACACTCACTCTATGTGGGTCAGGATCTTCTGGCTGTCCGGGTGTAGCTCGCTGAACTTGGTATCGAATCCCGCCGGTTGCGGACCCCCTCGACTGGGATCGTTATTCGTCAGCAGATGCGCTTGGCCCTGCTGAATTGCTAGGGTTAACTGCTGCTGCTGTTGCTGCTGTTGTTGCTGTTGTTGTTGCTGCTGTTGCTGCTGTTGCTGCTGCTGTTGAAGGGGTGACGGAGTGCTTGTCGCGGGTGTGCTTAAAGCGGAAGTTTGAGTTCCCGCGGTGGCCAGCGTGGAAGGCTTGAACCCTCCAAACAGCGACATTTCGCCTGAATAATTTGTAATCAATCCGCAAGTCACGAAAAAAAAAACGCAGTATCAGCGAATGTCGTGGCTAAGACCTCTTGCCGCCGATAGATGCGGCGTTCTAGGTTGTTATCGCAAACAGGTGAGCAGGAGGTCCTGCGGAACAGGTGTAGTGTCTAGGAGTATCCATGGCTGGAGTGACGAGTCAGGAGTCAGACATATTTCTTCATTCTTGATTCTGCATTACGACGTCTGGCTTATGTTAGTCAGGGAGCCAGAAATTGACTGATAATGACAAGTCCGCTCTTGTCGTGGATCGCGTTTCCAGCGGTAATAACGACGCTCATGAACTGATCAGAGATAATCTCTAGATCAGGAATGAGAGACCAATCTCAGTGACCCGTTAACGGGTAACATCTCAGCCTTGCTTGAGGCCTGGCCAATCTTATGTGCCCTTTCGTCAGAGGAGGCGAAAACATACGTATTCTTCTCTCAACTTTCGTTCGCGTTGCCACTACCCTGGAATAGTTCTGTATTCTGTATCCAGCTTCGTTGAAGTGTTCGTCAAAGGGTTCGTCAGCATTCTGTATCCAGCTTCGTTGAAACTCGGGTGTACAGTACTTTCAGCACCAGGGCATCTCAATTGAGAACAATGCTGTGCGATGAGAAGCGGTTTTGCTACTCCCCTCTCAGAACATTGATTGGTACACCCTGCTGGAAACCAACTCCAAAGGACGTCCCTTGATAGTACCTTATCTGAATCGCTTGGTGGTAGCAACTTGATCAGCGGAAGCACTCCCGCCACCACATCCGCTCAAAGCCGTGTTACAAGAGTGCTGCGTGCGAGGAACTGAGTCAGTCGCCGCCATGTCGCGGTTATTCAAGGTAATTTCGCAGAAATTGAGCTTTCCGAGTACTTATTATCATCCGAGGGGTCGGAGAATCAATTCCATCAGACCACCCTCCGTCCATCCCTGCTTACTGCCACGTCATCCTTACCACGTCCTCCTTACCCGCGTTCCATTGCGTATCCGTCTCATCTCATCCCTGCGCGCCGATGCTCCAAACAGAAAGAGCAGATCTCGGCGTATCGTGACCGTCGGTTCCGCGGCACGCAGGAGGAGTTCGAGCAGGCGCTGAGGGTGTCTACCACGGTTTACGTGGGTAACTTGTCGTTTTACACCACGGAGGAGCAGATCTACGAGGTGTTTTCCAAGGCGGGGGAAATCCGACGCATTGTAATGGGACTCGATAAGAATACAATGACGCCCTGCGGCTTCTGCTTCGTTGCGTGAGTAACGCCACCTGCTTGAGACGTCATTTGATGAGAGCTGTGCTGTCTCTGATCCTTCCTTCCCACCTCTCCCCCACTTCCTCTCTCCCCTCCATCCATCCTGGTTCATTTCCTCCCCCTTTCCATGCAACTCCCCCCAACCCCCAACCCATCTTTCCCTTAACTCCCTTTCCTCTCCTCTCCCTGTCCCCTGCCCCCTCCACCTATCGCCTCCTCTTCTCGCTTCTTCCTCCCTCCTGCTCCCATTCTGCCTCCTCCGTTAAAACTCTTCTTTTTTTGCCTTTTCGCAGTCTCGGTACCATGCAAGCGAGACAGCACACAATTCACCCCCCTTTTTCTCCCTTTTGTCTGTTTCTGGTGCAGGTACTATGTGAGGGAGGACGCGGAGGACGCGGTGAAATACGTCAGCAGCACGATTCTGGACGACCGGCCAATCAGAGTGGACTTTGACTGGGGCTACGAGGATGGGCGGCAGTGGGGGCGGGGGAGGAGCGGCGGGCAAGTCAGGGACGAATACCGCACCGATTATGACCCAGATATGTGCCTCTCTCGCCTCTATCCGTCACATCTCTCCCTCCCCTCTCCCTCGTCTTTATGGTGGGCGGGGACAGAGCGGATGGCAAGTCAGGGACGAATACCGGACCGACTACGACCCAGATATGTGCCTCTCTCGCCTTTCGTTTCGCCTCTCTTGCTTGCATCCCTCTCACCTTGATGGGCGGGGGAGGAGCGGCGGGCAAGTCAGGGACGAATACCGCACCGACTATGACCCAGATATGTGCCTCTCTCGCCCAATTACTAGCTTTGTGTGCGTGTTAGTTGGTGCGTGCCTGTGAAGGGGGGGGGGGCGGGGGAGGAGCGGTGGGCAAGTCAGGGACGAATACCGAACCGACTGTGACCCAGATATGTGCCTCTCTCGCCCCGTTGCTAGCTTTATGTGCGTGTTAGTTACGGCATGCCTGTAAAGGTGGGGGGGCGGGGGAGGAGTGGAGGGCAAGTCAGGGACGAATACCGGACCGACTACGACCCAGATATGTGCCTCTCTCGCCTTTCGTTCGCCTCTCTTGCTTGCATCCCTCTCACCTTGATGGGCGGGGGAGGAGTGGAGGGCAAGTCAGGGACGAATACCGCACCGACTATGACCCAGATATTTGCCTCTTTTGCCCTGTTACTAGCTTTATGTGCTCTTGGTGGCAAGCTAGTACAGAAGGAGGTAGCAGCCATTTAGCAGTACGGCACTCCGCTCTTCATGCCGGCGCGGGGCGGTGGGCAGTCACTCTGCCTGTGCTGTGCATGCCCATGCTTGCTCCCCTGCTGCCTTCCCTCTTCCCCTCCCCACCCCTCCCTTCCCTCTTCCCCTCCCCACCCCTCCCTTCCCTCTTCCCCTCCCCACCCCTCCCTTCCCTCTTCCCCTCCCCACCCCTCCCTTCCCTCTTCCCCTCCCCACCCCTCCCTTCCCTCTTCCCCTCCCCACCCCTCCCTTCCCTCCTCTTCCCTTCCCTCCCTTCCACTCCTCCTTCCTCCTTCGTCCTTCGTCCTTTCCCTTTGTGCTCTCCACCCTCCTTTCTCTCCCCTACTGCATGACGAGGGGGGTACGGCAAGCTACTGCACCCTGCCATCCAGCAGTACGGAGCTTGATTGTCCCCCTGCCCTCCCCCCTCTCCTTCTGTGCGCTCCCTCCCCTTCGATTCCCTTCCTCTCTTGCACCGCGAGGGGGCTACGGCAAGTTAGTACAGAAGGAAATAGCGGCCATTCAGCAGTGCGGGGCATGATTGTCCCCCCTGCCGCCCCCCCTCTCTCTTTGTGCATCCCTTCCCCTCCATCTCCTCCCCTACTGCACGGCGAGGAGGATACGGCAAGCTAGTACAGAAGGAGATAGCGGCCATTCAGCAGTACTGAGCGCCGCTTTTCATGCCGGGAGAGGGGGGCTCAGCCGATTTGTGCTGTGTATGCCCATGATCGTTCCCGTGCCCTTCCCCTCTTCCCCTCCCTTCTGCCCCTCCCTGCTTCCCTACTGCACAGAGAGGAGGCTACGGCAAGCTAGTACAGAAGGAGATAGCGGCCATTCAGCAGTACTGAGCGCCACTCTTCATGCCTGGAGGGGTTGGGGGGCAGTCCCCTCTGTGCTGTGCAGTGTGCATGCCCATGATTCTTCCCCCTGTCGTCATGCCGGGAGAGGGGGGCAGTCCCCTCTGTGCTGTGCAGTGTGCATGCCCATGATTCTTCCCCCTGTCGTCATGCCTGGAGGGGTTGGGGGGCAGTCCCCTCTGTGCTGAGCAGTGTGCATGCCCATGATTCTTCCCCCTTGGACTTTCCTCTCTCCCTTTGTGTGCTCCCTACCCTCTCTTCTTTTCCTCCCTGCATGGCGAGGGGGCTACGGCAAGCTAGTACAGAAGGAGATAGTGGCCATTCAGCAGTACGGAGCGGCGCTCGTCGTGCCGGGAGAGGGGGGGAGTCCCCTCTGTGCTGTGGATGCCCATGATTCTTCCCCCTGCGCTTCCCTTTCTCCCTATGTGCGCCCCTTCCCCTCCCCTCCCCTACTGCACGGCGAGGAGGCTACGGCAAGCTGGTACAGAAGGAGATAGCGGCCATTCAGCAGTACGGAGCGCCGCTCTTCATGCCGGGAGAGGGGGGGAGCCCGGGAGGCATGCCCCCCTCCTTTGGCCACTCGCCCTCTGTGCCCCGCCAGCCCATGAGCCACCGCATGCAGCAGCGACTGGGCAATCAGCAGGGGCCCCGTGAGTAATCAGTGCATGTGCAAGGCACCATACATAAGCATAGGTATGCCCCTGAAGGGGGTGGTCATTCCCCCTCCTTTGGCCACTCGCCCTCGGTGCCCCGCCAGCCCATGAGCCACCGCATGCAGCAGCGACTGGGGAACCAACAGGGACCCAGTGAGTGGCGTTGACTTGACTTGCACCTTTGCTCGTTGCACTCACCCCCTGCACCACCATGCATGCCCCTTGGTGGGTGGGAGGAGGGATGGTAATTCCCCCTTCTTTGGCCACTCGCCCTCTGTGCCCCGCCAGCCCATGAGCCAGCGCATGCAGCAACGACTGGGGAACCAGCGGGGACCCCGTGAGTGCCTGAAAGGCCATGCACCTAACACAGACAGACCACATGACCATACATTCTTTTAAAAGGAGGGGGTGGGAGTTCTTCCCTCCTTCATCCACTTGCCCTCGGTGCGGCGACAACCCATGAGCCACCGCATGGGCCAGTGACTGGGGAACCAGCCGGGACCAAGTGAGTCATACAAGCATGTGCAAGCCAAGCCACGTGCAAGCCAAGCCACGTGCAAGCCAAGCCACGTGCAAGCCAAGCCACGTGCAAGCCAAGCCATGTGCAAGCCACCGTACATGCATAGCGTTGCCTACACTCGCAAACATGAGCAGACAGCCGCCTCTCTCGCCCTCTGTGCTCCGATAGCCCATGTGCCACCACATGGCCTAGCGACATGTATTTTGAGACGTCTCAAAATACAACTTTTATCACGTCTCTCTCGCCCTCTGTGCTCCGATAGCCCATGCGCCACCACATGGCCTAGCGACATGTATTTTGAGACGTCTCAAAATACAACTTTTATCACGTCTCTCTCGCCCTCTGTGCTCCGATAGCCCATGTGCCACCATATGGCCTAGCGACTTGTCATCCCCCTCTCCTATTACCACTCCCCCCCATCCTCCCTTTTCCCCCCATTTTTACTCCTCCATAATCCCACTCTGCTTGTCTCCTCTCCATTTTATCTGTTTCCTCTCCCCCTCTCTCGGCTGTCACTCATTATTCTCGCTCTCACTCCATCTCACTCCATCTCATTCCATCTCCCCAATTGTGTCTGTCTGTCCCTCTCAGGGAGGGCCCAGCGTTACTCAAGGGATGACAGGCAGCGGGGCGGCTACAGAGGTAAGCAGCTCTGTTTATAATGTGTATCACTGTAAGTATGTAATCATGACATGTGATAAGTGTGATGGGAGAATTATCACACCGACCGACAGACACTACAGAGGCTATTACTCATGACCACTTTTCCCTCCCCTTCTCGCTCCTAATCGCAGATGGAGGTGGGGGAGGAGGAGGCGGTGGGATGCGGAAGAGAGGGAGAGACGACGACGAGCAGATGGAAGAAGCGGGGAGGGAGGAACGGAGGGGCAGGGAGGAGGGAGGAGAGAGGCGAGGAGGGGGCAGGGACGGGGGTGGGCGGGCGCGATATGAGGAGAGAAGAGGGGAAGGAGGGGAGGGGAGAGGTGGTAGGGAGGGAGGGGCAGGAGGGGGAGGAGAAGGAGGTAAGGGAGGAGGGGGAGGAGAGGGTGGGGCAGAAGGGGTTGCTGACGACCAAAAGGTGAGACAATTGAAAATTATCTCTCCCTTTTTCTTCAGTCACCACGGTCTCACTCGATTCTGAAACAACCCTAAATGCATCGGAATCTGCTTGTGTGGTGGTTGTGTGCAGAAGAACCCGAGGTTCAGGGAGAGGGGGGATGATTCGGACGACGAGGGGGACAAGGCATGAGCGTCACATGGTGCTTCTTGTAACGGACAGGAGGACGTCTAAGCTGGTTTGATTCGGTTTGTGAGGCGCCTCATAAGTCAAATTTTGAGGCTCCTTTGAAGTCGCGGCACTCAATGTATGTATGCCATAGCTGGAAACTTTGGTGTGGATCATGTGTAAAAGTAAAAGATGTGAGGGGGGTCAGAGATGCCTTCCAGTTCCGGACAAATGTATGGATTTTCCCGTGACGAACTTGACAACCAACAACAGCCTCTTTCTACAAGATTTGAGTAACTGCAACAAATCCCTGCAAAGTGGTCTGGCTAGCCTGCTTGATCCCCGCTCTTGGGTCACTGAATCTCTTTGGGTACTACAGTAGAGGCGCCTTAATGAAGAATGTCGGTAGCTGTGAAGAATGTCGGTAGCTGTGAAGCCTTGCAAATCACTTGAGTAGCTCCTTCCTTACTGCAGCCAGAGCTACTGATACACCATCCTGAGCAGCACAGCAGCACAGCGGCACAGCGGCACACACACACACACACACACACACACACACACACACACAGCATTGCAGTATGGCAGCACGGCAGCATGGCCGCACGGGAGCACAGCAGCACGGCAGCATGGCAGCACGGCAGCACACACCCGCAGCATAGAGGGTCGCATTATCATGCCAGTATCTGTGGCACCCATGTGATTTTTTACTCAATCATGAAATTGTCAACCAAGTGTCACCCTAGAGACACACAAGCATCACTCCCAAGAATCAACCGTCAGTCATCCAAGAGACGCACCTCTGTCTGTATCTCTCGTGATAGCTCCTGTGCGCGCTCCCTCATGCCCACACCCAATGCAGCAGCGAAGCGACTCACGACGGTTGCTACTGCTGGGACAGATATGGTATCAGAGGCAGAAAGGTGAACAGGTGATGGGGCAAAACGAGAAACATGTAGAGCAAAATGCAGAATAAAGAACGTGAGGTGTGTGCAGAACAGTGAGATGCACAATATATGAAGTGTGACCAGCTAAATGGGCAGAGAGTGTTTTGAGACGTCTCAAAACAAGAGATGTACAATATATGAAGTGTGGCCAGCTAAATGGGCAGAGAGACATGGTCCATCACATCAAATGTGATGAACGCTGGAGATGTGATATACGAATACAACAAGGAAAGGGTGATCGCACAGGTGCAACATTTTTTAGGCGCCTCGAAAGGGTGATCGCATGGGTGCAACATTGACGTAGCCGAGGCGGTGAGCCCAGTAGCTCTGGTCCTAGAGGAGCTGGGATGAGCAGAGTGCAGTGCTTACCCTCACGTGTAATGAGTCGCTTTTTGAGTCAACTCAAAAACCGAGGCGGTGAGCCCAGTAGCGCTGGTCCTAGAGGAGCTGGGGCGAGCAGAGTGCAGTGCTTACCCTCACGTGTAAAGAGCTGGGGCGAGCAGAGTGCAGTGCTTACCCTCACGTGTAAAGAGCTGGGGCGAGCAGAGTGCAGTGCTTACCCTCACGTGTAAAGAGCTGGGGCGAGCAGAGTGCAGTGCTTACCCTCACGTGTAAAGAGCTGGGGCGAGCAGAGTGCAGTGCTTACCCTCACGTGTAAAGAGCTGGGGCGAGCAGAGTGCAGCGCTTACCCTCACGTGTAAAGAGCTGGGGCGAGCAGAGTGCAGTGCTTACCCTCACGTGTAAAGAGCTGGGGCGAGCAGAGTGCAGTGCTTACCCTCACGTGTAAAGAGCTGGGGCGAGCAGAGTGCAGTGCTTACCCTCACGTGTAAAGAGCTGGGGCGAGCAGAGTGCAGTGCTCACCCTCACGTCCCACACCCTCTACAAGCAGTCACGCACCTGTTGTTTGGTGTGCAGAGTCAGCAGGCATGAGGTCCGATGGGCGGAGAGGAGGGGGGGCGACCCCAAGGTAGCAGAGGCGGTGAGCCCAGTAGTGCTGGTCGAGAATGAAAGGAGGGGCAGGGAAGCTGAGGGGGAAATTAACCGGCTAGGCAATCATTCTCACCTGGTGAATGGTGCGCCGACTCTACAGGCATGAGGTCAGACGGGCGGAGAGGAGGGGGGGCGACCCCAAGGTAGCAGAGGCGGTGAGCCCAGTAGTGCTGGTCGAGAATGAAGGGGCAGAGGAGCTGGGGCACGCCTGCTCGCAGTGCTGCTGCCGTGGTGCCGCTGATCGGGGTGCATACACAGATCGGGGCAGACAGATAAGTTGAGATGGGTGCAGGGGGATGCAGACATGCAGGCAAAGGGACGGAGGGAGGGACCTGGTCTGCCCAGTAGTGCTGGTCGAGGATGAAGGGGCAGAGGAGCTGAGGGATGCCTGCCCGCAGTGCTGCTGCTGTGGTGCCGCTGATGGGTGCAGGTGGGTGGAGATGGGTGCATGGGGCTGCGTGAAGGTACAGATATGGGCATTGGGGGGGTGAAGGGGATGAAGGGACCGACGGGCTAGGGCACCCCTGCTCGCAGTGCTGCTGCTGTGGTGGCGCTGATGGGTGCAGATGGGTGCATGGTTATGCATGCGGGTGTATGGGGTTGCATGAGGATGCACGGGGGTGTAGGGGAGTGTAGGGGGGTGCATAGGGGTGCATGTGGGTGCATGGGCGGGTGGAGTGTATGGGTGTGCAGAGGCGAAAATGAAGGGCAGAAGGACAGCATGCCAAGCAACACGGACGCATGGTGACCGCCAGCCAACTGCAGAAATGCCCGATATCATCCGTTCTCCACCCCTCCCCCACCGCTCCCCCACAATCCTCCTCCCTCCCGTCCCCCACCCCTCCCCCACCCCTCCTCCATCCCTCCCCCCTTCCCATCCCCCACAACCCCATGCCACCCACCTGCCGGCATGGTGCAGCACAAAGCAGCAGCGGGGGAAGAGCCACTCGTGAGAGACAGGGCTGGAAATGCGTGAAGGGGGGAATGGTACATAGCATCAAGACAGTATAGGAGACTTGAGACACCTCAACGCAACCTGACATTCATGTAGAGCGGTCAGAATGTATCAAAATAGCATGTAGCCTACACTTCAACAGTAGTTGTGTTTTAATTTTGTTGCTTAAGAAATCACAACAGACAAACCGTGACGTGAATAGTCTGTCTGTTGTGAGACAGATGGAACACGAAAACACAACAGCATCGTTCAATCTGAGTCGACACATGTGACAAGCAAAGACGATTCTGAGGTGCTTTCGCCTTGAAAGGCATGTGACAAAGAAAAGAGGAACAAGGTATCGACTCACCCCCGAAGGGCAAGGACCATCCCACCCGCAAACATCCTGGGAAGGCCGAGAGGCAAGAGCGGTGAGGTTGACAATTGGGGGTGGTGCTGGTTGGGATGGTCGCTGGGACAACAGCCACCGTTTCTCATCCACTGACAGCATTTCGCCTCTGCCCCTTGCAACCAAATCTGCTGCTCTTTTTCGCCACTCCTCCTCTTGCTCCTGCACGTGCTGCTTTTCGTCCCTGCACACTGCAGCGACTGCCTCCTCCAATGCGCTGTCGCCACTTGTCACGACCACGGCTCGCAGGTTGAGGGCTTCAGCTGCGGCAATGATGGTGGCGAGGAGCAACGCAGGGCGGGGGAGAAGACCCATGCTGTTATGGGAGGGACAGAAGGAGTGGAGGGGGGCTTGTAAATTGAGGTTAGCTGCGGGGATGATGGTGGACAGGAGCAAAGCAGGGTGGCACGCGCCAAGGGCAAGAGGTCGGATCAGGTTCCTAAGGACCCGCAGCAGGAGCTGAGCAGGCCACGGAAGGGGGCAAGGAGACCCATAACATTCAAAAACCGTGCAAGGACGGTCTGAAGGACAATACACAAGAACAGCGTCTGAAGGACAATACACAAGAACAGCGTCTGAGGAAGACAGAACGCCTCCGCGGTCATCTTCACCATGAGCACACCTGGGGCAGCAGAGGACAGAATGAGAAGGAGAAGGATGGGGCAAGAAAACTTCGACAGCTGTCGTGCAATTCTGTACTTGACGGCAGAGATATGCGCGAATAATTGCATTAGAGTGTAGCCGAGAACAGTATCGAGCACAGCCATAAGGGAGCGAGCCCGAGGCAAGAGGCACGAGGCGGACTTGATGGCCAGGGAGAGGGTCGGAAGCAACTCAACGGAGGGCGACAAGGCGAGAGTTAGACGAGAACAGCAGAGCCTCATGCAGGCGAGGCGCAAGCGCGGGTGACCTGGGGAGGGAAGGGGCCAGCTGGCTGAAGATGGGCGTGTGGGGGATCCAGAGTATGAAGGGTGGAGATTTTCTCTTGTACATAGGTAGGTTGTGGGTCTTTGATTTTGTGTGCTATGTCGGAATGAGAGCAAGAGCTAGCGCAGGAGTAGAGCGAGACCCTCGTCTCGTTCAATCATTCGGACCCTAGGTTGCTATTTACAAGGTGCATCCTGCCTAGGGTCGGGATTGAATGAGACGAGAGTCTCGCTCTACTCCTGCGCTAGCTCTTACTCTCATTCACATGCATCCGACATAGCACACAAAATCAAAGACCCACAACCTACCTATTTACAAGAGAGAATCTCCACCCTTCATACTCTGGATCCCCCACACGCCCATCTTCAGCCAGCTGGCCCCTTCCCTCCCCAGGTCACCCGCGCTTGCGCCTCGCCTGCATGAGGCTCTGCTGTTCTCGTCTAACTCTCGCCTTGTCGCACCTCCGTTGAGTTGCTTCCGACCCTCTCCCTGGCCATCAAGTCCGCCTCGTGCCTCCTGCCTCCTGCCTCCTGCCTCAGGCTAGATCCCTTATGGCTGTGCTCGATACTGTTCTCGGCTACACTCCAATGCAATTATACTGTCTCGCATATCTATGCTGTCAAGTATAGAAATGCGCGACAAGCATCGTCGGCACGAGGAATAATAACTGAGTTGGACTTTAGTTCCGCAATCCCAAACTAAGTACGGAGGACATTAACTATAAGCTTAACCGCATAGGTGACTATGGGGAAACTAACTACCCTGTCCCCGTTCCCCTCTCCAATGCCCACCTGTCCATACGTAGAGCTGAAGCTCGCATAGAACACATCGCTCTGGTGGTGGTGCCGTGCCTGACATGAAAGCATACGGTGAGTGAATGCGGCTAGCTATGGTACAACGTACCCCATCTCTATTGCTCCCTGCACCACCCACCTGCCCATCACCCACCTGCCCATGGAACTGAAGCCCACATAGAACACATTGTTCTGGCTACGCGGTACGCCCAGCACGCGAGGAGGGTGGAAGTACTGGTAGAGCAGCTGCAGAGACAGAAGAGTGAGAATGGGAGAGGGGTATGGGAGCGGAGATGCATCGGGGTGATTTTTTAGTCGACTCAAACGTCACCACATTTCGCTGGCAATGAGGAGGGAGGAAGTACTGGAAGAGCAGCTAAGAGTGAGAATGGGAGAGGGGTATGGGAGCGGAGATGCATCGGGAAAGCAACAGGATGGATGAAAAATAGGAAAGCAGGCCGTGAGGAGCCGTTGAAACTCCAAGTCTTCACCTTAAATAGATTGCATGTGCTTAAGAGGTGGCTTTTACTCATGAGGTGGCTTTTACTCATCAAATAATAGACGAGCCGATTTAGCGCTGCGGAACCTAAAACTGGGTCGCTAGAGAAACAGAAATCCCCCATCCCCTCCCCTCGCCCCCCTCCAGCCTACCCCCCCCCCCCCCTCCCTCCCAAAAGAAAAGCAAACAAACAGACAAACGAAACCCGGAGATATACATCGTTGGCAGCATTGCAGTTGGAACGCCTTACCATCTCTTCGGTACTGTCAGAGGCAATATGATTCCTCAACGGAACTCGCATTCTGGCTTCCATTTCCAGCGCTTCTGATGCTGCTGCTGGTGCCGTTGTTGCTCCTGCGGCTGCTGCCGCTGCTGCCTCGGTTGCTGCTGTTGCTGGGACTGCAGGAGGCAAATCTAATGGAAGGCCCTGGTGTGGTGGAGGGAACCAGAAACCACAGACCTTGATAGATGCACGCCAGTACGCTGCAAGGGAGGGGGGGTGGAGGGAGGGGCGGGGGAGGAGGGGAGCGGGGGGCGGACAGTGGGAGGAGGAGGAGGGGGGGTCCAGTTATGAGGAGCCTCGAAAATAGACCTTGATAGATGAACGCCAGGACACTGCAGGAGTCGTCTTGTTTTGAGGCGCCTCATAACAAGACTCATGAGGAGCCTCGAAAATAGACCTTGATAGATGAACGCCAGTACGCTGCAGGAGTCGTCTTGTTTTGAGGCGCCTCATAACAAGACTCATGAGGAGCCTCGAAAATAGACCTTGACAGATGAACGCCAGTATGCTGCAGGAGGAGGGAGCGGCTGGAGGGGGTGGTTCTTGAGCGACTATTCTTTCCTCAACGAACAAATTCGAGTGGCGGAGTGATTATTTCCGGGAGCCTTATTGCCTCTGATAGTAGTGACTCAAAACACCTGTGTGACTGTTGACATGGCATGGCAGGCATAGCATATTCACATGGGCACTCGACAACAGCCGGGCTGTATGGGAATCACTTTTGAGAATTCTCAAAACGTTGCCATGCTGTGAGTGTTGAGTTGGCATGGCATGTATAGCATACTCACATGGGCACTCGACAAACTTTTGAGTCGACTCAAAAGTGAGCCCAAAACCTTTCCATGCTGTGAGTGTTGACATGGTATGGTATGGGATGGCCTGGCATGCATACTCACATGGGCACTCGACAACAGCTGGGCTGAAGCCATACCTGATAGGATGAGGGCATCAGGAGGGAAGGAGGGAAGGAGGGAACGAGGGAAAGAGCGAAGGTGAGAAAAAAGGAGGGCAGGGAAAGACGAGAGACAGTGACTGCATCAGAAGGTATAATGCTGGTGTTGCCATTTACTGTAAAGATTTCTACCGGGAGAGGTGGGCCATGGAGTTTTCACACGTTTCAGCACAAAATGGAAGTCAGCTATATTGGTGCGACTTTTGAGAATTCTCAAAAGCCCTAACGGGAGAGGTGGGCCAAGGAGAATTTCACTCGTTTCAGAACAAGCTGGAAGTCCCGGCCTTGTCTACATTTATACGAATATATCATAAAGAATGTATAAGAGATGGAAACTTATATGTTGGTTCGCATACGTACAGCAAGGGTGTGGGCGCAGGCCATTCGTGGGTCGGCTCATCTGTTACCGGATCCTGCACACGTGCAAAGATTGCGGGTTAAGAGACGACTTTTGCGGCACCTCAAAAGTCGCTGCATACTGGACCCGGCACTGCACAGGTGCAAAGTGCAAGGTGACTTTTGAGTCGACTCAAAAGGCGCCTCAGAAGTCGCTGCATACCGGACCCTGCACTGCACAGGTGACTTTTGAGGCCCCTCAGAAGTCTTTTGCGGCGCCTCAAAAGTCGCTGCATACTGGAACCTGCACTGCACTGCACAGGTGCCAAGTGCGGCGATGTTTCAGGAACCTCAAAACTCCTCAAAAGACGGTCTAGCTGAGCCCTGTACGAAAGAAGTACACACGACAATAGCAGTGTGTGCTAAATCACTCAGGAAAACGAGACAGGAGGGGAGGGCGCGGGGAGGGGAGGGGGAAGTGGTGGGGGAGGGGGAGAGGGGGGAGGAGGAGCGGGGAGGGGAGGGGGGAGGGGAGAGGAGGGGGGGAGGGGGAGGGGTGGCATGAACATGAAGTTCTAGAGGACCTAAAGGCATAAACATGAAGTTCTAGAGGACCTAAAGGCGTAAACATGAAGTTCTAGAGGACCTAAAGGCGTAAACATGAAGTTCTAGAGGACCTAAAGGCGTAAACATGAGGTTCTAGAGGACCTAAAGGCATCCTGAAGGATGTGGGAGGAGGACAAACCAGGAGAGCGCAGGGAGGAAGGCACAGAGAAGCTTCCCTCCACCGTGCCCACCGGTGGCAGGGGAAGAGCAGCGGCCACATCCATTCTGACACCTCCGCCCATGATAGCTGGGAGAGGGGGATGAGGGATGGGTGGTAGGGGGGGGAATGGGGAGGTGGGGAAAGAAGCGGGGGAGGGAGGGAGGGAGGGAGGGCACGGGGGCACATGAGGGCATGGGGGCATATGAGGGCATGGGGGCATATGAGGGCACGGGGGCATATGAGGGCAGGGGAGGAGGCAAGAAGGTAGGGGGGCATAGAAGGAGAGTAAGAAGCAGCCACATCCACCTCGTGTGGGCTGACTGACTGCTTGCTGCAACCGGCGGAAAAGGGACGGGTGGCTGCGGCAAAGAGCGAAGCAACTTTTGAGTCGACTCAAAAGCCACCTTCACACTCACCTCGTGTGGGCTAACTGCTCGTTGCAACCGGCGGAAAAGGGACGGGTGGCTGCGAGCAAAGAGCGAAGGGAACTGGTGGGGAGGCCTGTAGGGATCAGGGGGGGGGGGGAATGAGATGCGAAGTGAGAACAGGGCAAACCGCACAGAACAGGACGTGGGAAGTGAGATGGGCAACGGTCGTGGCAACTACGAGACGGGTGAGAGATTCAGTGTGCTTCTCTCTCTGACCTGTAAGGCATGACGTAGGGCGCAGCAGCCATGCACTTGACTTCGAAATGTTCCGCTATGTGCCATGCTTCCTGCAGGCACCACAGGCAAGAGGAATACGGGCACGTGGAACACAACACAACACAACAGAGCCCAAACATCAAAGAAATCACAGAGAGTTCATGTCAGGTCAGGCTTACCGACGCACACCAAAGGGCATGTGGGATTATACTGCAATGGCGACCATTGAGTCGACTCAAAATGAGGTGCCTTTTAGCCGACTCAAAATGAGGTGACTTTTGAGTCGACTCAAAAGTCGCATGTGGGATGATACTGCAATGGCACGGAGAGTTTATTCATGGCACGGCCTGAACTCCCAGACTTGCAGGCGGAGCTGATGGGAGCAGTGCTGGTGGGTGGAAAGGAAGGAGCAGAGCACCTTACAAGGGCAAACAGGTTAAAGACTATAAGCTTGTGTGTCTCTTGCGGCTGCTCGTCACCCATGCTGCTCAGGCTGCTGCCACCTTGCTCCTCCAGCCCCTTCGTCCCTTCTGCATCATCCGCCTCTTCCGCCCCCTCCGCCCCCTCCGCCCCCTTCGTCCCCTCTGCCCCGTCACAAGCTTCCAGGCACTTCTTAATGGCTTCAAAGCATTCCCTGCGATGACGTCCCTCCTCCTCTTCTCCCCACCCCTCCTCCTCTTCTCCCCACCCCTCCTCTTCGTCATCGTTTGTATCCCCCCCCTTCGTTCTCCTCTTCATTTCCTTCACTCAAGCGAATGATCCTCCTTCGCTTTCTCCCCTTTCCCTGGTCAATCTCCCCTCCCTCCTTCGCCTCCCCTCGCTCCCCTTCCCCTTCGCCTTCCCCAATCCCTTCTCCCTTCCCTACTTCCCCTAACCCCTCTCCCTCCTCTCTCATTTCTAACGGTTCTCCACTCCTCCTTTCCTGTTCTGCTTTCTCCTCTGTCATCTCCTTGCCCTCTCGTTTCTTGAAGGCAGGAGAAGAAACTCCCACAAAGCCCACTCCGTGTGCGGTTAGGCTCGGCCCAAGGCTGCGCTGCCAGTAAGGCACGGAACACCAGAGAAGAAAAGGGGAGTGGAACAACGGAATCTTTATTTGCCTGAAACGTATGCGACACATTGAAGAAGTGTACATGATACTTCACAGACCTCGAGAAACAGTAACAGAGACCAGAAGAGGAAACAGGGACCTGAAGAGGAAACAGAGACCTGAAGAGGAAACAGAGACCTGAAGAGGAAACAGAGACCTGAAGAGGAAACAGAGACCTGAAGAGGAAACAGAACAGAGACCTGAAGAGGAAATAGAGACCTGAAGAGGAAACAGAGACCTGAAGAGGAAACCACACCTGGTGCTCGTGATGAGTCACAAACCACACTGCCATCGACGTTTCTCTCCTCCTCCTTCCCCTGACCTCTTTTCCCCCGTAACCTCCACGATTTTCCCCCTCTCCCTCCCATCCCTCCTCCCCCTCTTCTCCTGCACCCTTTCCTATCACATCTTTGACCCCCTGTGCGGCGAGTGCTGATGCTAGCACCTACACAGAGCGGGAATGAATGTGGGGGAATAAGGTGAAAGGGGGGGAAGGAGAATTGCGCCTTACAAACGCTAGCACCTACACGGAGCGGGAATGAAAGTGGGGGAATGGGGTGCAAGAGAGGGGGAGGAGGCGGTTAAGGGTATTTGAGGGAAGGGGGGAAGGTACGGAAAGGCGAGAAGAGGGAGAGGCGAGGAGGGGGAAAAGCGAAGAGGGGGAAAGGCGAGGAGGGGGAAAGGCGAGGAAAGCGAGGAGGGGAAAGGCGAGGAAAGCGAGGAGGGGGAGAAGCGAGGAAAGCGAGGAGGTGGAAGGTCGCGCAGGGAAAAGGCGAGGAGGAAAGACGAAGGGGGAAGGCGGGGAGGGAAGCGAGGAGGGGCTAAGACGAGGAGGGGCTAAGACGAGGAGGGGCTAAGACGAGGAGGGGCTAAGACGAGGAGGGGCTAAGACGAGGAGGAAGAGTCTACCGCAAGTGGCTGCACGTCCCCTCGCGTGCCGAACGCGACCAACACCACAGTCGCGCGGGTGACTAGTCGGCGGCGATCCTGCTCCATACGCGTTATAACGACGGCGATACGCTACGCTGTCACGGTTAGCAGCGCGGGCCCTCGCTACCGCTCCAATCGAGAAGGCCCTGTATGCCTGCAATCCGTTGCGCCGTCTTGAAGGCTTTTTTTAGAATTCCCTACAACGAAGGCCCTGTATGCCTGCAATCCGTTGCGCCGTCTCGACGATTCGCGACGTCACATCGATGGTTCGTTAAGTCACCCCGAGTCGGCACGAAGTCACTGCGGTGGGTGATGCTGCATTGTGCTTGAGAGAGAGAGGGGTCAGTCAAACGCGCCCCTAAGGCCAGCGTACACCGCTACTCGCAAATGTCCATTTTGCGCCTACCTGACAGCAAGCTCCGTCAACTAGCCGTTAAAGAAAACGCCAAGACACCAAGCGCCGCGGGTGAAGGAACGACGATTAGAGGAATGCGACATCCTTTCACGAGGAACAACAAACTGGAAGGAAGGAGAAAACAGTGGAGAAGTGGGGTATCGATCCCCATACCTCTCGCATGCTAAGCGAGCGCTCTACCATCTGAGCTACATCCCCGATGCCAGAGCAATTTGGATGTAATTAAGTTCTTACACCTACTGAGCATTTTTTCAAACTCTGCCACCAAAAATGTTCACAAGAAGCAGCTGCTTCTGAAGATAGCCAACCTGCACAGGCAAGACAGAAACGGTAAAATTGGCATTATTGGAATATAGATATGTAAGGTCCATGCACATAGCTCCAACTTCCAGCTCACATGCAACCCTTCACATCAATCACCTCACCCCACCACACACACCTTGTCAAGCAGGGAGGGAGCTCACATCCCTCATCGCAGCAGGACCGGACCCGGTAGGTGTTCCCATGCGCCTAGACGCCTGCACACAAATGCTAACACATTTCTCCAATTCCCCCTACATATCAATCGCCACATACCTTGTCAAGCAGGAAGCTCAAGTCCTGTATCCCAGCAGGGCTGGCAGGTCCGCCCCTGCGCCTAGACGCCTGCAACCGGCAAGCTTCGAGGGCCTTTCTCAGGTCGTCCTGCAAAAGAGTAAGGAAAACGGATATGGGAAGGAGGGAGGATTGGAGAGGAAGAAAAATGAACATGGGAAGGAGGATTTCGTCAGCTCTTCCTACCAAAGATGAAGCGTAACGGGCACGAGAGGGAGGAGGTGACTTTTTTAGTCGACTCAAAACAATTTCCTCAGCTTGTCCTGCCAGAGATAAAGCAACACAGGCACGCGAGGGAGGCGGACTCGAAAGAAAATACCAACAGGTCAGAAGAGGGGTAAGAGGACGGACTGGAGATTAAAACTCGAGACTCACCTGTGCTCTTGCATTCTGCATGCATCCTGTTGCAGCCTCTGCCACCATCTCTCCATGTGCCGACTCTCCGATAGAAGAGAAACGAGCCTGTTGGGATTTTGAGAGGTCCCAAGACTACAGCACTCACCTGTGCCCTTGCATACTGCATGTGTATTGATGCAGCCCCTGCCACCATCTCTCCATGTGCCACCTCTCCGGTACACGAGAAATGAACCTGATGGTAAGGGGAAGACGTCTTAGAACTTTAAAAACCTCGTTACGATGGAGAAACGACCCTGGCAGTTAGCACCCCTTACTTGGGGCGGAGCACACTACGTTTCGCAGGTCTTACATCTATTAACCATATGCTTACAGATATACATGTGTATATGTGTAAAACGAAAACAAAAAACAGACATACTGATTGCAGCAGCAGGTGTGACATGAGGCAGCTGTCCGCCCCACAGGCCTCTGTAGTACTACTGTAGACAACGCAGACACCAGCCGTTGAGACACATGACGATCACGCAGTGAACATAATTAAACAAAACGGTCTGGTGGTCTTACTGATTGCAGCAGCAGGTGTGACATGAGCCAGCTGTCCGCCCCACAGGCCTCCGTGGCCCCCACTGCTGCTGCACTCAACCGCTCACACGCTGATGCCCACCGGTAGAAGGCCGGGAGAGGGAAGGAGAGAGCTGGAGAGAGGGTGGTAGTTAAAGCAGTTGCCGTTGATGATTCTTCTGTTTCTAATGGTGCTTCTGCTTCTTCTGCTGCTGCTGCCATTGAAGCTGCTACAGTGAGAACCACACTGCAAGCAGGGATGAATTAGACACGACTTGGTCGGCAACATGGAGAGCTCAGAGCAAGGTTACTTCTCAGTCGACTCAAAATTCAAAAACCGGAGGAAGCAGGGTTTGGAACCACAAGCAAGCAGGAAGTGGTGAGACTCCAGCATCATGGGCCGCTCACAGATAAAAACAACACTACAAGGTGCATGGGCCATGAAAGGTGCACGCAGGCAGAAATCCCCACCATGAGGAAAAAAGGCCAGCCAAAATGGGATGGGATGGGAGGTTTGAGTACGCTGCAAGTGGAGGGACGATGTCAATTGGGATCGAGAAACCAAGATAGACGAAAAGCACATACCTTTCAACATCTGGCTCTTGCTCCTCTAGATCTCCTTTTTCCCCTTGCTCATCTGGACCGCACAGCCCATGCAGAGTGAAGGTGACATGCGGCAGCAGCAGGCTGACATACGGCACAGCGTGCACAAAGGCGGTGCAGGAGTGCACGAGTCCATTATCGTTCCCTTACCCCAGCCGTGCATGCATGCTGCACAGGAGTGCAGGCGCCCTATATGGTGGTCCTTCTCCCCACCCCTGCCACCCCCTCTCGTCTGTCAAAACTCTGTGCTCATCTGGGCTCCCCTCATCCCCCCCATACCACTCGATACCTCTTCCATCCTCATCATTTGCTCCTTTGGTATCATCTCCTTCCTTGCCCCCGTCCGCTTCCTCTTCCTCCTCTTCTTCCTCCTCCTCTTCCTCCTCCCCCTCCTCCTCCTCCTCCTCCTCCTCCTCCTCCTCCTCCTCCTCCTCCTCCTCCTCCTCCTCCTCCTCATCCTCCTCCTCGTCTTCTTCCTTTTCCTCCTCATCCTTTCCCTCATCGTCTCCCTCCTCTTCCCCCTCCTCAGTCTCCTCGTCTTCCTCCCTCTCCTCCATTATAATCTCCTCAACCTCCTCTCCTTCTCCTTCCTCCCCCTCTCCGCTCCCCACTTCCCCACTCCTTGGCTCGATAGCAAAAAACTGAGTACAGATCAAGTTCCTATCCCTGTTAGTAGATGCCTCGTTATTCGTTCTGGCTGGATATTGGGTGCAGATTACATTCCTCTCCTTCCAGTCCTTACTCCCCTCTTCACTCCCCACACCAACACCTTTCTGAGACGCGTCCAAACGTTTACTTCCCTCATCACTCCCCACACCAACGGATTTCTGAGACGCGTCCAAGGTCCTATTCCCCTCATCGCCCCCCACACCCGCAGCACCACTCCCCACACCAGCGCACCCCTCTTTCTCCTCCTCGCCCAGCCTCCCCTCCCCAGGTCCCTCCACCAGAACCACATCGCTATCCTCCTCTTCTAAATGTCTCCCTCTCTCCCCTCCCTCCCCTCCTTCCTCTCCCTCCTCCCTCTGCCCCCTCACCCTCAACCTTTCCGCCTCCTCTTCACCATCCAGCCGACCACAAGCCCCCTTGCTCCGACTACTCTTCCTCCCTCGTGCTCCTCCCTTTCTCCCACCCATCCCACGCTTCAGTGCAAAACCCTTTGACACTCCACCCACTCCTCGATTCCTCCTCGATCTCCCTGCTCCTTTCTTACCCTGTTGACTGTTGTCCGCCCTAGCAACCCTCATCCGCTTCCCTCTGATGCGTGCTCCCTTTCTCCCTCCCTTCCTTTTTCTCCCCATCCTGTCGTCTCCATCCTCGTCCTCACTCCCTCCCAATCCAACCCCTCCCCCACCTACTTCACAATCACACTTAGAAACTCCAGCAACCACCTCCGTTCTTCTTCTTCTCTTCGTAATGCCCTTTTTGGCCCCCACGCTTTCCTGGAAGAGTTTCCTTTTCAAGCAGCCACCAGCCATACCCTGGCCCTCGGTACTGTGGCATCTGGTATCATCATTGTTACCACGATAACGCTGGTTACAGTGCTGATGGTAACCACCAACGCATTCGTTACCATGCTGTTGGTCACTTCCAAGCTTTTTGTTGCAACCCCCTTCCAGCTGATGACACGTGGAGCATGGCAACGTCCGGGTGCCTCTGATGAGCTGGCGGACAGCAGAGGCGTCCAATAGGAAAAACGCCATTTGTCCCAAAATCGAGCACAGTCCTGAAACAGCAGGAGGACGTGGTAGGTCTTAGCTTGGAAGAGAAGAAGACGCATTCACAACACCGAGACAGAGGCGAAACACAACCCATCCCCCTCTCCCATTTCCCTCTTCCAGGCAAGCATCATAATGGCTGGATAGGACATGCCCTTCATCATACCTGAGTCGTGTAGCTGGTGGGGACTTTGATTCTGGGGCTCGGCCTGCTGCTGGTGTCTCTGCACAGGGTGCTACTGATGCTGCTGCTGGTGCGGATATTGCTGGTGCTGCTGGTGTTGCTGCAGCTGTTGTAGCTGGAGCTGGTGTTGACGCTGGCGTTGTCACTGTTGGCTCGTAATCAGTTGACGTGAGGGCGGGCTGGATCAGGCAGCCCACTCGGACAACCTGATACAGGAACAGTACGGGATTCCACGAATGAGAGAGATAGAATGTGGGAGACAGTACAGAACACGATGAGTCCTATTCATGAGTGAAGGCCGGATCAGGCAGCCCACTCGGAAACCCTGATACAGGAACAGAGCACAATACGATGAGAGGTACAGAATAAGATGAAAACTACATGATAAGAGTAAAAATACAGGTTAAGACCAGATACACAAGTTAAGAGGAGATATATGAAAGAAATGAGATAGGATGAAAGGTACGGGATAGAACGAGGGATTAATGGCCTTATCATAAAAGTACCCCTAACACTCCACACGCCTCAAAACGCCTCAACCACTGCCTGGAACCAACACTCCACACGCCTCTTGTAACATTCACACCAATAGATTCACACCCATTACACTCACGAAAAGCGTGGCGTTAGGGTTCCGCTGGTCCACGGCAAAACTCGAGGTGAATGGCGTCGGGAGCGAGAAAACCCTGCAGCTCATCATTCCGAGGCTCATCATGACGAGATGGCGTTCCAGTCAATACATGCTCGTTGTGATGTGAACCGACATTCTCAAGGTGCTGTGAAAGCCTTCCAACGGACGGCGATCCGTATTGTTCCGACGCGCTGACGTGGAAGCTTCCGAAGCCCTTAAAGACCCAGCTAGGCTCCGGAGAGGGAAGGTTTGCAGGATTAGCTGGTTCAGCGACCGAACCAGCTGGTTCGGTGCTAGGCCCGTTAGCATTGAGAGGGTGTCAGGATCGCTAACACGGCTGCGGTTCAGAGATGCATGCGGATTGAGCCATGGCTGCGCTTTTAGCCAGGCACAGCGATCCATGCGTAAATAAATACCAGCAATTCGAAAAACAGCGGTTTAAAAACGAGGAAAGGGATGCGAAGGGTATTTCTATGACATGCAAAGGATTGCGCGAGAAGCGCTGTTGAAAAGGGAGAAGCAAACAGGATTGAGAAAGCTCTGACTAACTCCGCAAGACTCGCGTAGCCAAGTTTCCACTCGTGGGCTAGATGCAAGTTCTGACAATCCCTGCGCTTTTGACTGCCCTGAGTTTTCCTGTTTTCTGGGAAAACCGAGGCTGGTTCGGCAGCTTCAAGGTGACGACAACGATGAAACTGACACTTCCTCGATATATCGTCCTGGCGTAAATTGTTCGGATCATGGTAGAGCTTTTGGAAACACTCATAAAGCCTTTTCATAATGCAATGATTGGAACATTTATGACCACGTCCTCCTAGTTGTTTTGAATATGCGTATAATGCTGTAAATCGATCACATTTTACTGAAACCAACTCGGGACGCAACATCAAACCATGGGACGTCATGTCTGCCCATATTGAGAATAGTTAGTGTTCAACATTAAGGGTACGTTCCTGTGGAGACACTTGTGTCTCAACCCCCGTTTTACCGGATCGCGCCTGTAAATTTGCAAAATGTTGTGTCTCAAACAACCAATGAACCTCGAATCGGAGCGACAGATGGGACCGGCCAGGTGGGCGCTTTCTATTGGTGGCGGCCACTTGGATTGACCCCGCTGTTGTTTTCCCGCCGGGCATCCCAGTCCAAAAAAGCGCAACCCGCAATGAATGTCGCGGCGGCGTCTAGACACGGTGAATGGTGTTGCAAATGGGTCGAGTCGGGCATCACAGAAACACTACACACACAGGCTTGTGTTCAACTATAGCAGCAAACACTGGCACAAGTACAAAACCACCACCCCACTAGTCATAATGTGCCTCCCAGTCTAGCATCCATGGCACAGCCTCGCGACGTGCCCTTCCTCATGCGGCTGCTCGTCGCATGGGTCACGTTCTACTACACCATCTTCATGGACGCCGTCTCCAGATCTGTCGGCGGCTTGCTGGAGGCGAACGTGTTCACCGAGGAAGTGTCATCGGCTTCTAGCTCGCGTGGCTCCAACCTCACCGCCGAGCGGAAAAGGAGGTCAGGGCTTCGCCGGCGCAGGTACCAGCTGCTGCTAGAGGACCTGGAAGGCATGGGGGAGGAAGAATTCAGGGATTTGTTTCGCATCAACCACGCAATTCTTGACTACATTGTCAACGGGATGGCGCACTACATGCAGCCCTACGTTGACAAGATACTTGATCACGCACGAGGTGGCATGCCTTGTGGCTATCAAATACCTGGCCAGCGGCATGTCGTTTCGAGACCTGTCCGCAGTCTTTGGCCTGTCCAAGACGCTGTGCCACACGCTGGTAGATGCGCTCCTCATGCACTTCCCGACGGCCTTCAAGCAGCAGTGGGGTCCACTTCCCGAGCCGTGACGACCTCGATGAGATGGCGGAGGAGTTTCGCGCCATCAAGGGAGTCCCTGCGGTGGTGGGGGCTATAGACGGCACACACATACCCATGAAGGGGATGGAGGGGCACAGGCAAGAGTACTACACGCGCAAGTCATGCTACGCCGTGCAGCTGCAGATCACATGCGATGCTCGCGGCATCATTTGGGACTACTTGTAGGATACCCGGGCACTGCACACGATCAGAGGGTGTTCATGAACAGCGCGTTACACGAAAGGTTGCACAACGGCGACATTGCACCATACCAAATTGTGGGAGATGCTGCCTACCCACTCAGGGACTTCTGCCTGACCCCCCTACATGCACCCCGTGAAGGCCTAATGGATGACTGGGAGCAGTGCTTCAACTACTACCAAAGCGCTACGCGCATGGCAGTAGTAGCGGTTTGCATCGGCGCATTCAAGGGCCGGTGGCGTCTATTCGCGGGCCGCAATGATTGCGTGCTCTGGCGCATTCTTGCAGGGGCGTCTTGTGGCGTTCATCCTGCACAACATGTGTGAAACGATGGGAGCGGTTAGGCGGGTGAATGCGTCGTGGGCGAACTTGCCCCGAAACCAAGACCCGTGGTGGACTCGTGGTGCAAGTCAGCGAATTCAAGTGGGAGCCGTGCAAACCCGTGCACGCAGGCTAATTTGCTCTGAGGACGGCGCAAGCGGTTGGGCGAGGCTCTGGAGTAGTCTTACCTCACTCGTCGGCGCCGCGAACCCACACATCCTCGCCCGCATCAGGGTTAGAGGCGTTGTCGCCCGTTTGCCCGCGGCGGAGCCAGCCGTCGTCGCCTCCTTCGGCGGCGGGCGTCGCATGCCCAGGGATGCCGTCGTGGGCAAGCGGGAAGGGGGCGGGCTGCTGCACGCGTTCGCGTGCAATCCGCGCATCCTGCTCCATCCATGCGTGGACGAGGACTTCGATACGATTCATCACGTCGGAGTGGCAGCCCTTGATTGTGTCACACACCAGCTTGGCGGCGGCCACCGTTGCGGTCTCCACCACCAGTGGGCGCTTCGACGTAGGCGTCCCCTGCGGCGTTGGTGCTGCATACGTGAGCCACGTAGAGTTGCATCAGTAGCTGACTAGTGTGTGATATTACGTCACATTTCTTCCCTACCCTAAAACAAAGTTGCACAAGTGCCACACCAAAACGTTAAGGTCCGAACATCAGAGTTGTTGCAAACTCACCGGTGAAAGTCGGAGAAGATGTGCATGGTGCTGATGGCGACGGGACCGCGAAACCGCACGGCACGTTGACGTGAGCCGCGCCACCACCGTCGACAGCGTGTGGGTTACCAACAGCCTTGTTGTTCTGGAATAGCGCCATGTACGGGTACCATGGAGGCTTGCACACCGCCCCCTTGCCACTCGCCTTCTCCCCCTTCTTGATCTGCTTGTACACGTTAACGAGGTTGCGCCACTGCTTCTGTAGTGCGTTCACGCCGCGGACCCACCCGGGGTTCTCCTGCTCGAAATGACGCACGAGGCGGGGCCCAGTACTGGGATCCCCTGCTTGCCGAGGAGAGCGCCCAGCTCGTCCTTCATGAACCAACGAGCTGCGACGGAAAATGGTGCTCTCGCGGGTAGACCACACGCTCCACCTGACAGGGTTCAGGTTGCGCGTCTTCGACGCGCCACGAGGAGGCTCTCCGCCCTTTGCGGCAGTCTTGGTTCCGGCCGCAGTAGACGCACGCCGCGACGGGTAGGCGGGGTAGGGGTAGTAGGGTTGTGCCTCCTCGGGAACGTCCTCGTCGTCTTCAGCGTCCTCGTCGCCGTCGTCTTTGTCCTCGGAGGGGGACATGCCCTTGTCCGGCTCCTCGCCAGAGTCCGCGTCGTCGTCGTACGCCTCGTCGCAATCATTGAAATCAGGATCGTCGTCGAAGGCCTCGTCGTCCACGACGCGGGATGATGCAACCCGGTCGGCATGAGGGCGTCCGCGGGTAGGCACGTCACGCGGGGCTTCGAACGAGGTGTCTCCCGCACCGGGCGCACCATTGGGCAGGGGGCTGGCGGGCTTGCGGCCGGCCGCGAGCTGCTTGTTCATCCAAGCGATGTATGGGATCTCGTTGAGATCCCGCAGGCACAAGTCAGCAGTGCTAGCGGCGCTCTTGCGCTTTCGGGCCATGGCTACGACTGGGAAGAAGGAACAAGAAACAGGAAGGAGAGAGAGAAGGGGTTTGTAGAACAAGAATGGACTGGGGCGGGTGAGTGCTGTCTGCGTAGTTGGAATGGTGTGTTGGAAGTCGGGCAGGGATGTGTCATGACGGTCGCATCCACCAGTCATCTGTCTGCAGGGGCAGGGCGGTTTTCCTTTCCCGCTCGAAAATTGCCCTGTTTGATTGTCCAGGTGCATGCAGTACAGGGTGACATTTCGGGACGCGTGCAATTTCCGCAAGGTGACGGGGCCTCATGTAACTCGTCCGCGACACCCCCGCAATTCCCGCCAACCAATGTAAAATACTGTGTGAATCGAAGTAATGCGGTCCGCGTTTGTGACACACTACGACATATGCTGATTTCCGGTGTCACAAAGGGTTTGAGACACAAGTGTCTCCACACGAACGTACCCTAAGGTACGGTACGTCTTCGAGCTATGATTTATAGCATTAACTCAACACATACCGCGTGTCACGGTACCGTGTGTACCGTGTGTTTGGAGCGTCACGTCTGCCAATATTAAGACTAGTTAGTTTTTTACATTTCAATAGAATAGTCGGTAGGTCTTCGAGCTATGATCTATAGCATTTAATAACTCAACACATACCGTATTTGGAGCTCCACGACCAGTGGCTTTCATGGTGCCAGAGACAAACAGCAAGCATGATGTAGCCCTGGTGTGACACATTCCAAGGTACAGCACGTGACGTGATAATGTCACCCCTAAAACAGCCCCTGACGCCATGTGTCTCCCCGGATACAGCTTGTGATGCGTGTGAGTCATGGAACCCCCACAGCCCCTGCTGTCAGAGTATTCACCACATGGTGCAATGCAGCAGCATGTGGTTGTTAGAGGGCCCTACGACAGCAATGGCCTTCGTTGACCTTGGACTTGGCAGGTCGGCGCCTAACGGCTGAGTCTACTCGGCACCGACGAATGAGTTCGGTGGAGGTCGGGTGTGACTACGTGTGACTATGTGCAACTGCGCAGGAGTTCACATGAAGAAGCGAGAGTCCGTGGGAGTCGTTGGTGCTTCCTTGAAGAGTCGCACCACTCCTTGCTGTGTTGGTGGAGTGGTGTGCACGGAAGCGAGAAGTCGATGCTGAGTTGGGTTGGGAAATTGGCGAGGCGTGTTCGCTCACCCACACACCACTTTCGTGGGGTTGGGTTACTCGCAGCGCCCACGCAACCTCTTGTGAAACCCTCGCCTGCCTATATATGTTTGTGTTTGCTTGTGTGTTTGATATATTCTATGTTCCTAGTGAAGTCCAAATGCTACTTCAATTCTCACCAAGTCCTTAGAGGCAAACGCTACCGAAACTCTACCAAGTTGCTGACGCAACATCATTCCCATAACAGAAACTCTCTCGTTGTCGCTACGCTCTCTAATATATTCCTTCTTAGTGCGGTGAGCGTGGAACGAACACGCATAGATTTGTCAGAATCCCAGCCACTAGACCATTGGGATAAAAGGGCTTGTTTCAGTAGCGGGTCAGTGCGCCCATAACCCCCAGGCAAACGCGCCTGTAACCCCCCCTAGGATCGATCGGGGATCTCACAGTGTAGCTCTACTGACACCCCCCCACACTGGGAGGCCCAGGACTGAGCACAGTGGCAACGGCCAACATGTGCATACACCGGGATTCGAACCCGAGACCGCTCTGATACCATGTCAGAATCCCAACCACTAGACCATTGGGATAAAAGGGCTTGTTTCAATAGCGGGTCAGTGCGCCCATAACCCCCCAGGCAAACGCGCCTGTAACCCCCCCTAGGATCGATCGGGGATCTCACAGTGTAGCTCTACTGACAAGATTTCCATCGTCGTTGATATTCGCGTTCGTATACTCGCCTTGGCGTGCGGCGTTAGTGAAGGGCGCTTATTAATCTAAGTTGTGAGAAGAATAGAACGAGAATGAAATGACTATGAACGAAGTGAGTACAAATTGGAAACCCTAATTGGGTTGTACCCCCTATGGGATACCCCACTATAGCCTACACAAATAAGTAAGCTATAATGTTCTGACACACCCCCATAGGCAAAGTGGGGGAGAACAAGGGGTCACAAGACCAGTCAAGCAAAGCAAAGCAAAGCTCAGGGTGGATCACAAAGTCACCACACATTCCGAGCACAAGTTCAAAGGCCAGAAGGCCAGTCCACATGCAAGATCATATACAGAGATATACAAGAGTCAAGCAAGCAAGGGCAAGAGTATATATAGGTGAAGGTACAAGCAAGGTCAAGAAGTGAGCAAGTGAGGCAAGACAGACACAAGACCCAGCTGTGTGCAGCAGTGCTGATGATCACAAGGCGCAAGTGCCTTGGTGAAGACATCAGCAGTGTTGGCCTCAGAGGCCACGTACGCAAGTCGCAACTGTCCACGCTGCTGTAACTCACGAGCAAGAAAGTAGCGGAGAGCAATGTGCTTTGTCCTGTGCTCCAGTCGCTGCTCTCGACAGAAGGCCAGCATGGCTTGTTGTCTACGTACAGGACTGGAGGAGAACGAGGCGGCTCTCCAAGGTCGGTCAGCAGGTAGGTGAGCCAGCGAAGCTCCTGGGCAGCCATAGCCCCGGCGTAGATCTCAGCCTCACAACTGGAGCCGAGGACAGAAGACGAGCGGGTAGCCCGCCACGAAACAGAGCCGGAACCAAGGCTGAAGGTGTAACCCTGTGACGACCGCTGCGTAGCTTGGTCGTGAGCCCAAGAAGCGTCTGCGTGCCCAGTGAGGACCACTGGTGGCTCACAGGCGGCTCACGGGCTGCGCTTCGGGCGGCTAAGGGCGGCGCACGGGCGGCACGTGGGCGGTTAAGGGCGGCGCGCGGGCGGAGCGTGGGCGGCCTGAGGCCTGGCGGGCGGCGCGCGGGCGGCTAAGGGCGGCGCGCGGACGGCGCGTGGGCGGCCTGGGGTCGGGCGAGCGGCGCGCGGGGCTGCTTAGGGCGGCGCGCGGGCTGCTTAGGGCGGCGCGCGGGCTGCTAAGGGCGGCGCGCGGGCTGCTAAGGGCGGCGCGCGGGC